GGAGGAGGAGGAGAAGGAAGAAAAAAAAAGGAGGGTGAGAAGGGCGGGGAGGGGGAAAGAAGGAAAACGGCAAGAAAAATGTCCAGACCATGTTTGGCCAGGGAGTGATGTTTGGATAAGATCATGTTCCAAAAATACAGCCCGTTCCCACCAGCGCCGAAGGAGGGGGAGAGTAGGGGGGGTGGTCCTGTGTCCCCCCCTCCCATCCCGGCTCCACGCGGGGCCCCGCGCCGGGATTTTGGGCCCCGTGGCTGTGCCGTGGTGGTGCCGAAAGGAATTGTCGGAGCCTCAGAGTCGCTTGGCGTTGCTCTTGGCTTTGTTTTCTTAAGGCACCGTGTCCGCTCTCCTTTTTTGGAGCTGGGAAGACGTCGCTGGAGCAGCAGGAGGAGGGGTGGGGGGGGCTCAGCCAGCCCGGCTCTCTCATCACACCCCGGGTGACCGGGACACCTCCGTGTCCTCGGGAATTGGGGCCATCGGGACGCTCCTCGGAGCCAGGATTTGGTGCCGCGGCCGCTTTTTGAGCAGCTTGAGGGGGGGTTGATCCAAATGCCAGAGCTGGGCTTGGGGTGGATCTGCGGGAACACAGGTCCCACGTCCCGGGGTGCGGCACCCCTGCATCCCAAAGGGCTTCGCCCCATCCTTTTCCAGGATGATGGTCCCCAGGAGGGGGAGGCTGCCAGGCCGGGGGTCCCCAAAACCTCCCCAGTTCCCAGGGCATGGGGTGGAGCAAAGCCTTATCCGCGGGGATCAGGGAACAGCAGGATTTAACCTGTTTCATCCTAAACTGTGAATCACCCAGCTGTACCCGCTCCCTGCCGCGTTCCTGGCTTTCCAGCTGCAACATTCCAAGTTGTGAATCACCCAGTTTTACCCCCTCCCTGCCGCATTCCTGGTTTTCCAGCTGCAAAACCCCGGGATGCCAAGAGCAGCTGAAGCCAGAGCTGCTCTTAGGGATGACTCTTCCCTCTTCCCTTGCCCTCTGGACCTGGGAAAACCTCACCATGGATCCTCATGGATGGGGAGGAACTGAGGGGGTCCTGTGGGGGATTCCAAGAGATCCCTCATGAACGGGAGGGACTGATAGAACCCCATGGGGGATCCTAAGGGCTCCCTACATTCACCATGGATGGGGAGGGATTGATGGGATCCCGTGGAGGATCCCGAGGTCTCCCTGTGCCCATTATGGATGGGGAGGGATTGATGGGATCCCGTGGAGGATCCCGAGGGCTCCTTGTATCCATCGAGGATGGGGAGAGAGAGACTGAGGGAGGCAGAGCCACGGACAAGAGCCAGGGTGATGTTTTCAGCTGTCCCCAGCCGGGAATGGGGTGTGGGGACATCAGGGAAGGGCAGCGTTTTGGGCTCCAGCCCATCCTGTCACGTGCTGGTGCAGATCCAAAGGTCAGATTCCCATTTAACACCTTCCAAAAGTGAGGGAGTGAGCGAAACCAGCGGCATCCTGGGGAAGCTGAGTCAGTCCCTCCCTTTTGTTGCTCCCGGGTGTTTTTATCAGACCCACCATCCCGGTGGTTGGTGGTTATTTCCATACCCTGCAGGGGTACAGACCCACCCAGGGGCGAGGTCCTTTTCCCCCTGGATCAGGATCTCCGGTGGGATAAATCCGTGGTGGGATGGAGCACACAGAGACCCCGCTCCCCATCCCATATCCCACCCTGCCTCTCCTCGCTGCCATTCCCTGGGGAAGCTGCCTGCAAGGGTTGGGATTTGCTGCCTCACCCCCATCCCTGCGGGGTGAATCCCGACGGGAATCCTCCGTTATTCCCGCGCTGGACTGGGAATTCCCGGGAAATCAGGGGTTATTTCTCACCTTCCACGGGGTTGTGGCAGTGGATGGAGCAGATCCAGGGAAGAGAGCCCAGGATGCAGCCTGGGCTAGGGGGCAGAGGGGGGTGCTGGGGACAGGGATGTGTTTCCTTATCCCATTCCATCCTTTCCATTCCAGGTACCAGCACCTGCCCGGGCAGAGGTGGCTGTGAGGGCTGAGGGCAAAGAGCTCGTCCTGGTGCTGGAGAGGAACCAGTAAGTTCTGGGGAAGGGGCACTGGGCATCACTGGCAGATCCCACTGGGATTGGCAGTATCATGGATGGGGCTCTTCTGCCCTCAGGGGAAGGGTCAACCCGGCGTGGCTTCACTTTGGGGTGAAATGGTCCCTTTTCTGCTCCACAACCCCCTGTGGTGGGAGGACCAGCCCTGGTTCGATGCCACGGGGCAGGACCCACCACGGGGGAAGGTGGTGTGGGGTGTTTGGGGGCTGGAGATGTCCCTCTGCCCTCACGGCATTTCATGGAATGGTTTGGGTTGGAAGGGACCTCAAAGGCCATCCAGTGCCACCCCCTGCTGTAGGCAGGGACACCTTCCACCAGCCCAAGTTGCTCCAAGCTGGCCTTGGACACTCCCAGGGATCCAGGGGCAGCCACAGCTTCTCTACCCCTGGGTGGGTTCCTGTCCCACCAGCAGCTGTGGGAGCTCAGCCTGGCAGAATCCTCTCCCTGCTGCTGTTTGGGTGCAAAAACAGCCCCCTCAGCGTCCCCAGAACCCTCCAGAGACCTGCAGAGGAGCTTCTGGTGTGCAGGAAGGAGAACTGGGGGGGTTCCCCTGCACATTTTAGGGTCAGTGGGGGGGTTGTCGTGGGGGTTGGAAGCTGATGAGCAAAGCTGGGGCACCAGGCCTGGAGAGCTTTGGGTGTCTTCTCATGGCAGGGGGAGTCAGGAGGGGTGAGGAGCAACCCTGGAGGCTCTGGGGCCTCTGGAAGGAGCAGAGAGATGGGTGGGATTGTGGGATGAGGGCACAGGGTAATAAATGGGTGAGGGAGGATGGGTGGCAGCAAAAGGGAACTGGGCAACCAGGGCAGCCCAGGGCAGCCAGGACCATCCATGGTCCCTGGGATCATCCATGGCACTCAGGAGCATCCATGGCACCTGGGATTATCCATAGTACCTGGAATCATCCATGGCACCTGAGATCATCTATAATATCTGGGATCGTCCATGGCACCAGGACCATCCATGGCACTTGGGATCATCCACAATACCTGGGATCATCCACAATACCTGGGATCATCCACAATACCTGGGATCATCCACGGCACCCAAAAGCATTGGTGGCACCCAGGACTTTCCAGGACACCAAAGAGCATCCACAGCACTCAGGACCACCCCTGGCACCCAGGGCAGCTCCTGATTGTCCCTGGCACTCAGGATCATCCATGTGGCACACAGGGCAGTCTGGTGGCATCCAAGAGCACCTGTGTCACCCAGGAATGTGCATGGGCCACCCAGGACAGTCTGTGATACCCAAGACATGGCACCCTAGGACTTCCATGGCACCCAAGAACTGCCAGGAACCAAAAACTTCTATGATCCCGAGACCACCACTGCACCCAAGACACCCAAGGCTGGCTGTGGGGACAGTGTGGGGACACCAAAGCAGCCCTGGCCATCCTAACTGCTCCCCTGGGGCAGGTGACAGGGCCACCTTAGAACCCTGTGAGCCTGTGGAGGCTGGGCTGGACCTCAGATCTCCTTTCTGCTGGTGCTGGGACACTCGATTGGTCTCCAAACCCATCCTGTGGGGTGTTCTCCTTCCCTCGTGCTGGAGGAGCAGCCACGTCTCTCCCCTCCTTCCCTGGGTGCCTGGAGAGGATGATCCCAGTGGGCTGAGTCCCTCTCCTGTGTCTCTGGCCCTGTCCCCATCCTGGGGGCACAATCTTGTCCTGCCCAGCCACCCACGTGTCCCCCCCTCTCAGGAAGCAGCTCTGAGCTCCTGGCTCATTGCTGGGCTGGAACTGGAGTCACTGGTGCCAGGCACCTACTCACAGGCGGACAGGGAAGCCACAAACGTGCCCACAGAGTCATTTCTGGCACCTGAGTGGGTGTGAAATGGAGAGCAGGAGGTGGGAGGGCTCTTCCGGCACCGGCAGCTGGTTATTTTCTTCTTCTGCGGAATAAAACCTCTGGGAAGGGGCCAAACCTCAAAACTCAAGGGCTGAGCTGATGCCAGGGGCAAACCTGGGCCTCCTTGTCCTTCTGTGGGTGCCAGAGCCCCTGCAGGGCCCGTGGGGACCTGCCACCTCCACAGGGACTACAGGGTCAGGGAGGGGTGTCCATCACCCTGGAATCTGGGCAAGGTCACTGTGGGAAACATTTTCTTTTCCTCTTTTTCCTGTCCTGTCCTGTCCTCTCTTTTTCTCTTTCCTTCACTTTCCTTTCCCAAACCTTCCCTTCCCCTCTCCCAAATCCCCCTCTCTCCTCCCTGGCATCCCCCCATCCCCACGTGTTGCCGGCCGTGAGCTCAGCCCTGGCTCTTCCCTGCCGCAGGAAGCCGTTTGTCAGCGTGGGATGGGCTGGCATTGGGATGTGTCACTCCTGGATCAGCCTCGGGAGCTGGGGGGAGATGTCCGGCAGCTGGAAGGGGGAGCCGAGGCATATGGGGTGAAGGCAAGGGTAGGGAAGGGGCTGGAGCAGCAGGAGGGGCTGAGGGAGCTCGGGGGGCTCAGCCTGGAGAAAAGGAGGCTCAGGGGGGACCTTCTGGCTCTGCAACTCCCTGACAGGAGGGGGGAGCCGGGGGAGGGGGGATCGGGCTCTGCTCCCAGGAACCAGCAGTAGGACAAGAGGGCAGAGCCTCCACCTGTGCCAGGAGAGGTTCAGGTTGGACTTGGAGAAGAAATTCTTCCCAGAGTGAGTGCTCAGACACTGGAATGGGCTGCCCAGGGAGCTGGTGGAGTCACTTCCCTGGAGGTGTTTTAAGGACAGACTGGACGTGGCATCAGCGCCAAGGGCTGGGTAACAAGGTGGGGTTGGGTCACAGGCTGGACTCGGTGGTCTCAGAGCTCTTTTCCAAGCTGAACGATTGCGTGTGATTCGCTGTGTCCCTTGTGCTGGGACACCTGGAGCAGCTGCGGGCTGCTCAGCCCTCCTCTCTCCACAGGCTGCTGGCTCCGGGATACTCGGAGACTCACTACGAGGGGGATGGACAGCCCGTGACGGTGACCCCCAACCACACGGTGGGTGCTGGGGGGGGTGAGTGGATGTCGCTCACTTCTGTTTTTTGGGATGTTTTGGCGCTTGTGCCGAAGCCGAAGCCGGCCCGGGGCGGGGAGGGGCGTTGCGTTTTCCCTGGCAGCATCCCCGGCGCCTGTGGCAGCAGGAATGCGGCCGCACGCGGCTCCTGTATCTCTTGGCCGCGGTTCAGCACCTCGGCAGATAAACACAGGCAGCACCAGGGCCCTCCCCGATGTCCCCCCACCGGCCTTTTGTCACCCTTCCAGCGCGCCGGGCCCGGGCTGTGTCCTGGGCTGAACTCCGGCTCCCTCCTCCCGGCTCTTCCCGGGATGGAGGGACACGGCTACCCTGGACGGGAAATGGGAAATAAGGTGTTTTTTGGGGGATCAGCGCGCGGGGTTTGTTGCTGCCCAGCCCTTTCGGGGGGCTCTCTGACGAGGGTCTCCATCCCCTCTCTCCAGGAGCACTGTCACTACCACGGCCACGTCCGCGGCTACGGCGGCTCCTGGGTCGTCCTCAGCGCCTGCTCGGGAATGCGGTATGGAAAAATGCAGGGCGGGGAGGGGCGTTGTGGGGCTGGCAGAGGGTGGGATGGATCCACCGCTCCTCCCTCCCTGCGGGGATCCCCTCCTGGAGCAGCACCGATGCTCCTCCAGCCCGGCTTCGGGTGGTTCACGGGGCTGATTTTTCCATCGCTCCCATCCCATCCTTCTCCTCCCTTCTCCCGTCCTTTGCCCAACCCCAGGAGTGGGCAGGTGAGGGGAAAGAGAATAATTTTCTGGCAGCACGAGGTTCTTTCAAGGATATTCACCCGTGGAGGGGGCAAGACCCTCAGAACTGAGCTTTGTTTGCATGGTCTGATGGTTTTGATGCCGAGGGTGTGTTTGCTCCTGGGGCTGTTTGGACAGAGACCCCCCATCCCTTATCCCTTCTCCCACCCTGGGTATGGACCAAGCTGAGGTGCCACGAGTTTGTGGGGCCTCAGGGAACCCCAGTGGAAGCCTCACAGGAGCCACCAGGGGCTGTTCTCCTCTTCCAGGGGTCTCATAGTGCTGAGCAGCAACACCAGCTACTACCTGAGCCCCCTGGGGCCCCCCGAGCCAGGGCACCACATCATCCACAGAGCAGAGCACCTGCCCATCCCAGCTGGCACCTGTGGGCACGGAGATGATTTGGGGAGCACCGTGGCTGACATTGCCCAGCTCTTCCAGCCAGGGCACCGACGGGTAAATCTACCCCGGAGGACGTTGGGAAGGGTTGGGAGCGGGGCTGTCTGAACCTCTCCTGAGGCCTTGTACCCATCCCCCTGGCACCTGGGCAGGGCTGTGCTGGCAGGTGGCGCAGGAGGGGTCTGTGGGGGTGATTTGCCTGGTCTGAGTTTGGGCAGGAGACCCCCAGAGAGAGGTGCCATGACCTCCTGTGGGACATGAGGTCATTTGGAGACACCCAGTTCCTTGTCACCTCACGCCTCAGTTTCCCCTCCCAGCCCTCCCTCCTGAGCAGCTGTGAGGTGTGTGAGGTGGAAGATGCCCAGAGCCATGGGCTGCCCCTTCCTTTGCTCCTCTGAGCCCTGTGTGTGTGTCCTGCAGGCGAGGAGAGATGCCTGGAGGACCATGAAGTACATGGAGCTCTTCATCGTTGCCGATCACACACTGGTGAGTGCTGAGGGGGGGACAGAAACGTGGGCCCCTGCTGAAAAAACAGGTCCCCTCATTGTGTCCCTTCCTGATTTTCCTCTGGTGACCCTTCCCCATCCCCACATTTCTGCAGTACAGGAACCAGAACCTCAACCTGGGCCAGACCAAGCAGCGCATCGTGGAGATCGCCAACTACGTGGACAAGGTGAGGGACCTTTTGGCCACCTCTGTCATTCCCAGTGCCTGTGAGAGCACCTGATCTTGGTGCCGACCTGGTGGTGGCCCTCAGGGACAGACCCCATGTCACCAGGGCAAGGAATCACAGAATTATGGAATCATTTATGTTGGGAAACACCTCCAAGTCCATCCTGTCCAACCACCCCCAGCACTGCCAAGGCCATCACTGACCCACGTCCCCAAGGGCCACATCTACAGGGATTTTAAATCCCTCCAGGGGTGGGGACTCCACCCCTGCCCTGGGCAGCTGTGCCAGGGCTGGGCAACCCATGAAGGAATTTGGGGGTTGGGATGAAGATGGTGGGAGTCACTTTTTTGGGCTGGGCTGCAGCAGCCAAGTCCTGCCTTGGCACAAGAGGGATACACTGAGGTGTTGCCAGCCCATGGTTGTCCTCATGCCACCCTGCCTGGCTCCTGTGCCCACTCCTGTGCCCGTAGAGCTTGTGCTTGCAGGTGGATTTGGGAGAAGTGTGTCCTGGAGTGACACCCCGAGACCCACCGGCTGCAACGCCACGGCAGGGAAGGAGGATTCCCAGCGAATCCCACCCCCATCCACCCCTTCCATCCATGCCTTCCCTGCAGTTTTACAGGCTGCTGAACATCAAGGTGGCCCTGATCGGGCTGGAGGTGTGGACGGAGCGGGACCACTGCGCCGTCACCAGCGACGCCAACGCCACGCTCTGGGCCTTCCTGCAGTGGAAGAAGTCGCTGAGGTCCCGCAAGAAGCACGACAACGCCCAGCTCCTCACGTGAGCCACACCCACAGCAGGGCAGGGGGGTGCCAGCTGGCACTGGGGTGTCCAAACCACCCTGGTGGGGCTGAATTCCCCTCTCCGTTCTCCTTCCCCGGGCAGGGGGAAGACGTTCGGGGGGACGACCATCGGAATGGCCCCGCTGGAGGGGATGTGCAGCATGGATAACTCTGGAGGAGTCAGCGTGGTGAGGAGGTTATGAGGGGTCCCCACTGCTTCTCCCAGCTGGAGAACCTCGTTGCCACCCTGTCTTGGAGGAGTTCTCCATGGACTGGGAGGATCAGCCACCTGGGGTTGGTCCTGGGATGCAGCCTGGGAGCGAGTGAGGATGTTGGTGGCTCCTTATCCCTCTCAGATGTTGGTCAGGTACCAAGGAGGGTGAGAAGGGGCTGGTTTAAAGGTCTGTCACCCCACGTACACCCCCAGATTCCAGCAGCACTGGGATCTCCAGTGGTGCTTCTGCCCCTCATGTTGAGGAGCCCCTGCGTGTGCTCTCTGGTGTTGTGGGGTCACCTCTGCCCAGATGACTCTGATCCTCCTCCTCCTCCTTGTGGTGGCCCTGGTTGTGATGGTGGTGGCCATGATGACCTGTGACAGAGTGGTGGGGGCCACCCAGGCTTCTGGTCTTTGGGATGTGCCTTGAGAAGTTTGGCTCCAGCAAAAGATCTTCCCCAACAGTCCCACGTGGGACTTCCAGGAGACCAAACCCTTCCTTGTGCTGTGAATCTTCTTCCAACCCTCCCCGGGATGCAGCCTCGATCCCAGGGATGTTGTGGTGCCTCCACCAGCCTGGGGTGTGGGGTCAGCCCTGTGTCCTCCCTCGTGGCTGCTGTGCCCACACATCCCCCCGTGCCCCCGCAGGACCACGCGGAGCAGCCCATCGGAGCCGCCGCCACCATGGCCCACGAGATCGGCCACAACTTCGGGATGGTCCACGACACCAAGGGCTGCTGCGTGGAGGCCACCCCGGAGCAAGGAGGCTGTGTCATGGCAGCAGCCACGGGGTAAGAGGTACTGGGGGTGGGGGGCTGTTTGCAGCTGAGCGGGCTGGGAGCGGGGAGGGAATCTCGGCATCTCCAGGCTGGGAGGGCTGGGGGGGTTCCCCTGGAGAAGAGAAGGCTCCAAGGAGAGCTGAGAGCCCCTGGCAGGACCTAAAGGGGCTCCAGGAGAACTGGAGAGGGACTGGGGACAAGGCATGGAGGGACAGCACACAGGGAATGGCTTCAAACTGGAAAAGTGAAGATTTAAATGGGATATTGGGAAGGAATTGCTGGCTGGGAGGGTGGGCAGGCCCTGGTACAGGTTGGGCAGAGAAACTGTGGCTGCCCCTGGATCCCTGGAAGTGTCCAAGGGCAGGTTGGAACAACCTGGGCTGGTGGAAGGTGTCCCTGCCCATAGCAGGGAGGTTGGAACTGGATGGTCTTGAAGGTCCCTCCCAACCCAACCCACTCTGTGACCATTCCCTGATTCCCTGGAGCACATCCCACATTCCAGGTGTGAGCAGGGCTGGGGGGCTCCAAAGGGCAGCAGAGAAGTAGCATCCCCATCCCAAAACAGCAAAGGATGGAAGCAAATGGATCCCACCTGCTCCTCCAATTAACAAAGATCACAGAAACCCCACAGTGTTGTTTCAGGGTGGGGCTGTCGGACCCCGGCACTGATCCCATGGGATTTAATATCTCCCTGGGTGGATTTTGGTGGGGAAAAGGACATTTTTGACTGTCTTCAACCTGCTCCTATTTTCACTTCCCTAAATATTGGGAATATTGTCTTTCTCACCCCCCACAACTCGCAGGGACTTAGAACTTTCCCCACAGCTCAAATTTCCTCCAGGTTTCAAAAGCACTTCTACAAAACATCCTTCTGTGTCATCTCAAAAATGAGATATCCTGATAAGAAATAAAACTTCTTTTTCTAGGCTAGAAGGAAACGAAACCATTAGTAAGAAGAGGAAATGCTTCTTCATAAATCACACAAAAAACCCCACAAACTTTGCAAAATCAGGGAAGAACTGAGCTCAGAGTTCCTCTAGAAAAAACAATTTCTCTCCAGCTCCTCAGGCTGTTGGAAAAACGACCTTACACTTTGGAGGCTCTAATTATTTCTTTGACTGTTTTATGGGGATTTTGGGGGGATAATTCTTTTCCATATTTCTTTAATTTTTAAATTATTTTCATCTGTCACAACCCCGGAGGTGTTCGAAGAGCCCCAGATGGTGATTTCCCCTCAACAGTTCGGTGATAACATCTTTTTAACTGACATCCTGAGCAGATGTTGGCACCTGCTCTGTGGTTATTTTGAGGGTGGTGGTTGTGGTGTCTCAAGTGCAAGACATGGAGATGGCATCTGCACCAGCATCGAGCTTGCAGAGCCTGCAGGGGTTGGTGCTCCTGGGCTTTGAGGTTCTCACTGTGAGCGCCTCCATCTGCAAGAGGGTTCGTGCTGGAGGGTTGATGCTCCAGGCATGGCTTTGCCAGTTCCCCCCCACCTCCTCAGTCCCATTCCTGAGGATTTGGGGTTCAGGGAGTTGCCCCCTGGTTGTTGTTCTGGCGCTCACCCCGTGCCAGTTGGGGTGGGAGATGTTCACGGTCTCACTTCTGCCCTTGGAAGGCTTTGTGCCAGTTTGCCCATGTCCTTAATTCCCGGCTCTGACTGTGGTTTTCTACCTTCTCCTGCTCCTGATCCTCCCGCTTCCCATCCCTCCTGGAAGGGTTTGTGCCACTTGTGTTTAATTCCCGGCTCTGACAGTGGTTTTCCACCTTCTCCTGCTCCTCACCACCCTGTTTTCCATCCCCCCCGTCTCTGTCCCGTGCGCAGACACCCCTTCCCTCGCGTGTTCAGCTCCTGCAGCAAGAGGCAGCTGGAAAACTACTTCCAGAAGGGAGGTGGGATGTGCCTCTTCAACCTGCCCGACACCAAGGACCTGGTGGTGGGACGGAAATGCGGCAACGGCTTTCGGGAGGAAGGAGAAGACTGTGATTGTGGGGAGGTGGAGGTAGGAGCTGTTTTCACATCCACTTCCCTGCAGAGGCTTTTGCAGCTCGGCTGCAAGAAAGGCCACGTGGAGAGGGGGGTTTGCAAGTGATGGGAGGGGTGGAAAAGGGGCTGGGGGGAAGGGATAGGGAAGGGATGGAATCACGGTCATGGAGCTGTGGCCATGGTGTTGTCTTCTTCTGCTTCTCCCACCCAGGAGTGCACCAACCCCTGCTGCAACGCTCACAACTGCACGCTGAAGGAGGGGGCCCAGTGTGCCCACGGGGACTGCTGCCACAACTGCAAGGTGAGACCCCCACTGTGCCCCAAACATGTCCCCAACATGTCCCTACCCTGTCCCCACCATTCCCTCGGGAATCACGTGCTGCACATCCATAAGTTCAGACTCTGCTGTGCCAGATGAGGGTTATGTGTAAACTTGTGTCTGCAGGAGAAATCATGGAATGGTTGGGGTTGGAAGGGGACCTTAAAAATCATCCAGTTCCACCCCCTGCCACAGGCAGGGGCACCTTCCACTAGCCCAGGGTGCTCCAACCTGGCCTTGGACACTTCCAAGGATCCAGGGACAGCCACAGCTTCTCTGCCCAACCTGTGCCAAGGCCTCACCACTCTCACAGCCAGAAATGCCTTCCCAATATCCCTTCTCTATGCCAGTGTAAAGTCATTACTCCTTCTCCTGTCAGTCCAGACCCTTGTCCAAACTCCCTCTCCAGGAGAATCTCCTCTGGCAGTTTCTGGCTCTGGTCCAGCTCAGGAATGTATCTCCATACCTTGCCAGCCCCATACGCTCCCACAGGGAACATTCCAGATGGTTCATGTCCCCAGGCTGTGCCAGGAGGCAGCAGCCAGTCCCACCTTGTCCCCTTGGCTCAGTTTCTGTCTCCTCCTGATGCTCCTCTCTCCTCCCGTGGCAGCTGAAGGTGGCCGGGACGATGTGCCGGGAAGCAGCGGGATCCTGTGACCTGCCGGAATATTGCACTGGTGCCTCTCCCTACTGCCCAGCCAACGTGTACCTGCTGGATGGCTCCTCCTGTGCCTATGGAGAGGCCTATTGCAACAATGGCATGTGCATGACCCACCACCAGCAGTGTGTCCAGCTCTGGGGACCAGGTGAGTCCCGCCAGCCCCAGCCTGGCCTCCTTCCCACCCCTCTCCGGAGCAGGAGCTGCTCTGAGTCTGCAGTGGGGTCCCCATGGACTCTACCTGTGGGGTTGGAGGGTATGGAGTGGAGGAGCATTGGTACAGGTCGGCCAGAGAAGCTGTGGCTGCCCCTGGATCCCTGGAAGTGTCCGAGGCCAGGCTGGAGCAACCTGGGCTGGTGGAAGGAGTCCCTGCCCATGGCAGGGGGTGGAAAGAGATTCATTAATTCACAGCTTCCTTTCCCAAATTTTAATCACCCCCTGTGAGCCCTCAAGGCCCTGTAGAAATGACACAGACTCTGGAATGCTGGAGATACAGAATTTCCACAACTAACCAACATTCACGATCCCTGGAAGTGTCCCCAGGCTGGGTTGGACAGGGCTTGGAGCAACCTGGACTAGTGGAAGTTGTCCCTGCCTGTGGCAGGGGGTTGGAATTGGATGGGCTTTGGTCCCTTCTAACCCAAACCACTCTATGGTTCTATGACCAAAATCCTCTGCAAGGCCTCAGAAAAAAGGGAATTCCATCCCTCTTGTGCTGTCCCTGGTCCAGCCCCCCCGGCAGCAGCTCTTCAGGAGGCTTTTCCATGGCATTTTCTCCATGAACCTCCAGCTGCTGATCCCATTTTCAGTACTTCTCCCCACTTCCTGCTTTCCCCCATCCCACTGGGACCTTTCCTGCCTCCCTGCAGGTGCCTGGCCAGCTCCAGACGCCTGTTTCCAGGACGTGAACATGGCTGGGAACACCTACGGCAACTGCGGCAAGGACAGCCAAGGGCGCTACGTCAAGTGTGACAAGAGGTGGGCGCAGCCCTGGCACCCCTGGGGGCCCCATCTCCTCCTCCTGCACCCACAGCCCCCCTGTGCCCACCCCTGGGAGGGTCCTGCCCCAATCTCTGGGGTCAGCCCCGTTTTTAAGGCCTGAGGAAGCCACCAAATCCCTCTGGGCTCTGTTTCCGTCGGTGCCGGGAGGTTGGACTTGATGGTCTTGAGGGTCTTTCCCAACCCAGATGATCCCATTGTCCCATCACGCAGCACCTCCCAGCACAGCCTGGTGGGAAGATCAAAGACAGCATCAGGGGCTGCTGTTCAGGGAGCGTGTGCTCCCCGGTATTCCCAGTTTATGGAATCAGGGAATGTCCTGAGCTGGAAGGGACCAGCTCCATCGAGTCCAACCCCAGTGAGTCCAACTCCACTGAGTCCAACCCCACAGGACACCCCAAAAATCCCACCATGTGCCTGGGAGTATTCCAGGGATATTAGAGGTCCCTTACCCCATTTCTCAGTGCTGTCCATGATTTATCCAAGCCCTTCCCGAACCTGCCGAGCCGCAACCCGGCGCGGCCGTGAATTCCGAGGGAGGCGATCCCGCAGGAGCAGGGCGATGGGCAGGGAGACCCAGGGACTCACCCCCGGCTCTTCCCCCCTCCCAGGGACGCCATGTGTGGGAAGATCCAGTGCCAGAGCTCGGCCAAGAAGCCCCAGGGGACCAACACGGTGTCCATCGACACCACCATCCGCTTCAACGGGCGCGAGGTGAAGTGCAGGGGCACCTACATGTACACGGCCAAGGACGACGAGGAGGACCTGTCCGACCCCGGGCTGGTCATGACAGGGACCAAGTGTGGAGATGGCATGGTGAGTGCCCCTTCCCAGGGCTGGGGGCTCCTGCAGGAGGCCATCTCCTGGGCTCTTACCCAGCTCCAGCATGGATTTTGGCTCTTCACCAGCGGGATGTGGTTTGCTCCACGTGTGTGACCTGGGGAACATCTCAACCGGGGCATTATAGGATATTTTCAGGCCACCAAGTTCTCATTTCGAGATGCCACCAGGTGTTTGCAGGCCACCAAACTGTTGTTATTTGGGACATTTCTGGACATCCCCAGATGTTTTCAGGCCACCAAATTCTCCTCCCTGGCCTCAAAGCTTTTTTTTTTTTTTTTCCCAGTTCAGTTCGCAGCGGAAGAATTGCCACGGGATTTTATGGATGAGGCTTCCTCCCAGGAATAAATTGTTTCCCAGGGGAAAGCTGCATTAGGAACCCAAGTGGCAAATCCAAAGCTAACTGGGAATTGGTCTCCTCTGCAGCCCCTGCATCTCCAAGGAGCTTTGGAGGGGGCCACTTGAGCTTAGGAAGGGCAGAGGGCTGGTGGAGAACAGGGTAGCAGGGGTGTCTGCCAGGGGGAGTTGGCTGTGGAGATCCTTCCCTATCTGATGTTTTAACAGTGGAATTTCCATCCCAGTTTGGGATACGAGGCCACAACACTGACATTTTCCCAGGGAAGGGTGGCTGGGTTTGAAATCCAGCACTGGGGGGTTTTTTAGCTGAGTTTTAGGGCCAGATGGGAAATGGTTTGTGTGGGAGCTGCCAGGTGGGTTGGCAGGGGAAGGGGCTGGGAGTGGTGCTGGCCCGTCCTGGATGTGGGAATGGCAGAGGCCAAAAATCGGAGTGAAATCTGCTGACCCGGAACGATGCAATTTATCCCAATGGCATTTTCCAAACGGAGAACATCCTTCCAAAGAACCCCCAGAGAAGCCCTCAGAAGATCAGTGTGTTCTCTCCTGGGTCTCTCTCCAACCTCCCTGGCTCTCCCCCAGGTTTGCAAGGACCGCCGATGCCAAAACGCCTCCCTTTTTGAGCTGGAAAAGTGCGTTTCCCGCTGCAACGGCCACGGGGTGAGTTTTGACCCGACACCTCCAGGAAAACCCTGGCATGAGCAGCAGATTTTTAAGGCAAACCCAGGGATGAGCCCTCTGGATTTCTTCTGCCTTTCCTCTCTGTGCCAGGCACCAGCTCCAGGTGAGGCTGAGCTGGGATCTTTGCTCAGCCATGTCCGAGCGAGAGGAAGGAAATCATTCCTGATGTAGGAACCATCTGCACAGTTTGGATCAGGGTCCAGTTTGAACTGGAGAGTGTTTAGAGCCCGGAGCAGGTGCCTGTTCCCTCTGAGAGAAAAACAAGGGTTAGAAAGATGACTGGGACTGCAAAAAAAGCAGGGAAATGGTTCAGGGATTACAAAGAGACGTTGTTGTCCAAAGCTCAAAGGTTACAAGGGTTGGAGCTCTGTGGAATGTGGGGCTTTGGGAGATGAGGCAACAGCAAACTGTGGGAGATCTGCTGGATTATGTGGAGGGATGTGATTGTGAAACACCCAAATTTACCCTTCTGTTCTGCTCAGAGAGCTGGGGGGGTTCCCCTGGAGAAGAGAAGGCTCCAGGGAGAGCTGAGAGCCCCTGGCAGGGCCTAAAGGGGCTCCAGGAGAGCTGGAGAGGGACTTGGGACAAGGGAGGGAGGGACAGGACACAGGGAATGGCTTCCCACTGCCAGAGGGCAGGGAGAGATGGGAGATTGGGAAGGAATTCCTGGCTGGGAGGGTGGGGAGGCCCTGGCCCAGGTTGGGCAGAGAAGCTGTGGCTGCCCCTGGATCCCTGGAAGTGTCCAAGGCCAGGTTGGAGCAACCTGGGCTGGTGGAAGGTGTCCCTGCCCATGGCAGGGGGTGGAACTGGATGATATTTGAGGTCCCTTTCCAACCAAACCATCCTGTGATTCCACGATGCTCAAGGGGTGAACATTACCAGGCTTTCAAGCTCCTTCATCCCAAATTCCCGTCACTCACCAGCCTGCTCTCATCCCCCACCCTACAGGCCACCCCTTCCACACCTCCCTGGTGGTCTCCAACCCTCCTCCTCTCCCTGCAGGTCTGCAACAGCAACAAGAACTGCCACTGTGACGCGGGCTGGGCTCCCCCCTACTGCGAGGAGCCGGGGCTGGGGGGCAGCGTGGACAGCGGCCCCGTGCAGCCCAACAGTGAGTGCCGGCGCCCTGAGGTGCTCCTGGGGCTGGAGTGATGCCAGGAGAGGGGGAAATGGGGGCACAGAGCCACTGGCAGCCCTGCTCCCAGAGGGGCTGGGTTGGCTCTGTCCAGGCAGACCCACAGTCCACGTTCAGTGGTCTTGCTGTCCTTGGTTGCTTGGTGGCCACCCCGAGAGGCTGCTGGGTGGTCCTTGCTGCCTTTCTGGAGGTGGGACCAGCAGCAAGGGGGTGACCAGATGGGATCAGCGTTCCCCAGCATCTCCCAGCCCCTCATTCCTCTCTGTGCTTTCCCTGGCAGACCAAGAGGCCGTTCTGATCGCCCTCCTCGTCATCTTCCTCTTCCTCCTGCCAGCCCTGACGATGAGCGTCTACTACTGGTACCGGAGGGAGAACTCCCTCCTGAATAAATGGATAAAGGAGATGAGGAAGAGGAGCCAGGAGGCCTACAGGTGGGTGGGGCATCCTAAATCCCTCCTTTCCTGAGGACCCAGCAGGACTTGTTTCATGCAGCCTGGTAGGAAGGGTTGGGGAGGAGCTGGAGGTGCCCAGGGCTGTTTTCCGAGGTTTAGGAGAACTGGTTTGAGATCTGCAGAGCTTTCTCTGGGAGAATCTGAGGCTCTCAGCAATTCCACAAGCAGAAAAAGAATCTTCTGGACAGGACAATCCCAGGGAGTGATGATAAAGGTGGTTGGTAGCAAGGAGGTTGAGTCCTGACTCCCAGCAGGCTGCAAGAATTCCAAGGGCTCTGAAGGGCAGCTGGATTGTGATATTGTCATTATTTGCCCTCCCAGCGCTGGTAGAGACACAAAACCCCCTCAGAACCCCAAAAATAATTGAGGAGGAAACCCCCAAATCAACCCACCCTTCATTCCCCCCCATTACCTGGAGACAGACACCCCCAGCAGTGCCATTAACGAGCTGTTAATTGAGGCAGGACCTCCCTGAGGTGCGGAATTTCGGGAGGCAGCTGTTCCTGAAGGGGTTGCTTTATTTTGCCATCCATGATTGACTTTGGAATTCCCAGCAGGAGCAAATCCATCGGTCGGAAGTCGAGCAATGGCCACTCCAAAACTGCCTTCACCTTGAGGAACATGTCCACCTCCAGCCACACCGATAAAGTAAGTAAGAAATCATCAATAAAGTGATAAATCATCAATAAAATAAGTGATAACTTACTTTACTGATAAGTGATAAATCATCAATAAACTGATAAACTATTAATAATGAGAAATCATTAATAAAATAAGTAATAAATCATCAATAAAATAAGTAATAAATCATCAACAAAGTGATAAATCCTCAATAAAATAAGTGATAACTTATTAATTAAGTGATAACTCATCAATAAAGTGATAACATCGATAAATAAGTGATAAGTCATCAGTAAAGTGATAACTCATCAATAAAATAAGTGATAATTATCAATAAAGTGATAAATCATCAATAAAGTGATAACTCATCAATAAAGTGATAAATCATCAATAACTGATAACTTATCAATAAAGTGATAAATCATCAATGGTATAAGTGATAGCTAATCAATGAAATAAGTGATAAATCATCAATAAAATGATAAATCATCAATAGAGTAAGTTAAAATTTAGGAAGCATTTAGGGAGAACTTAGGAGGAATTTAGGAAGAATTTAAGGGAGAAGTTTGGAAGAAATCAGGAAGAATTTAGGAAGTATTTATGGAGAATTTATGAAGAATTTAGGAGGAATTTAGAAAGAATTTAAGAATAATTTAGGAGGAATATAGGAGGAATTTGGGAGGAATGAAGGTTTTTCAAGCATGGCCCATGCCTGAGAGCAAGGCAGAGCAGATGATTTCTCCCATCTGCTGGAAATCTGGTGGTGGTTCACCAGAGCTCCAGGAATCCAGGACCAGCACCCTTGAGGAGCAAACCTGGAATCTCAGGATCCCTGAGGTCGGAAAAGACCTCCAGGATCGAGCCCAGCCATAAAATGTGTTCAGTGTTTGGGCAGGATGGGAAAAAAGCAGGGGGAAAAAAAGTGGGATAAACCCCAGAAGCCAAAGCTGCTCCCAGGAACAATTCCCAAAGGATTTTCCCCTGCAGGTGACCCGGGCCGCCTTCCTCCCCACCTCCTGCGCTCCCCACCCCGGCTCTCAGCCCGTCAACGTGGTCCACCCGCTCCGCCCGACCCCCAATTCCATCCCCCCGCGGCCCAGAGACCCCAAACCCGCCAGGCCACCCCCACCGCTCGCCAAATCCCCGCCGGGTCCCACCAGAGCCGGCGGCTCCCAGGCCAAGCTGCCTCCTCCCCGGAAACCCCTTCCCTGCAGCCCCCTGAGGACCCCGCAGGTGAGCCCCGCTTTGCCTTCCACGGGGGGGAATTCCAGGGGGTTGGGGTTTTTTTTGGGATGGTTTTGGGGTTGGGAGTTACTGAGAAGCTGTCGCGTCATCCCGGGAGGGGGATCCGTTGGACAGCGAGGGAAGTTCAGGGGAGAATGGGAATATTTTAGGGTAGTTTGGGTGTAGTTGATAAGAATATTTTAGGATAGTTTGGGTATTGTTAATGAGAATATTTTAAGATAGTTGGGTGCTGTTAATGGGAATAATTTAATGTAGTTTGGATATTGTTAATGGGAATATTTTAGGGTAGTTTGGATGGTGTAAATGGGAATAATTTAGTGTAGTTTGGGTGCTGTTAATGGGAGAATTTTAGGGTAGTTTGGGTGTTTTTGATAAGAATATTTTTGGATGGTTGGGGTGTTGTTAATGAGAATATTTTAAGGTAGTTGGGATGTTGTTAATGGGAATATTTTAAGGGAGTTGGGATATTGTTAATGGGAATATTTTAAGGTAGTTGGGCCCTTGTTAATAACAATATTTTAAGGTAGTTCGGGTGTTGTGAATAGGAATAATTTAGTGTAGTCTGGGTGCTGTTAATGAGAATATTTTAAGGTATTTTGTGTGCTGTTAATGGGAATAATTTAGTGTAGTTTGGATGTTGTAAATGAGAATATTTTAGGGTAGTTTGGGTGTTTTTGATAAGAATATTTTAGGATGGTTGGGGTATTGTTAGTGGGAATGTTTTAAGGTAGTTGGGTGCTGTTAATGGGAATAATTTAGTGTAGTTTGGGTGTTGTTAATGGGAATATTTTAAGATAATTTGGGTGCTATTAATAAGAATATTTTAGTGTAGTTTGGGTGTTGCTGATAAGGGTATTTTAGGATGGTTGGGGTGTTGTTAATGAGAATATTTTAAGGTAGTTGGGGTATTGTTAATGAGGATATTTTAAGGTAGTTGGGTGCTGTTAATGGGAATAATTTAGTGTAGTTTGGGTGCTGTTAATGGGAATAATTTAGTGTAGTTTGGGTGCTGTTAATGGGAATATTTTAGGGTAGTTTGGGTGTTGTTAATGAGAATATTGGAAGGTAGTTTGGGCGCTGTTAATGAGAATATTTTAGGGTAGTTTGGGTGTTTTTGATAAGAATATTTTAGGATGGTTGGGGTGCTGTTAATGAGATTATTTTAGGGTAGTTTGGGTGCTGTAATGAGAATATTTGAAGGTTCTTTGGATGCTGTTCCACACCTGGAAGCATCTCAGCTCTGCGGTGGGGGAGGGAGGTTTGCAGGAGGTCACCGGATGCTCCTTGAGGGTGACCTCAAGGTGACCTCACCCCTTGTGATTCCAGGTGGTCCCAAAGCAGCAGCCCCCTCGTCGGCCGCTCCCTGGGAGTCCCCTCCTGGCCAAAGAGCTGCCTCCTGCACATGGACAGACCCTGCTGGTCATGGTCCCTCCTACCAACTTCCAGCCATCGGGGACGAGTGCCATGAGCCACCCAACGAGGCCCTTGAAGTGAGTTGAGTGCCCCCCACCACGGGTGAGGTCCTGCAGGACCTCACGGGGTTTGGCCAAAATTGGCCAAGAGCCACCAAGGTTTGGGGTTTTAAGGTGCTGGGTTAAGGGAGGTGCCATATTTTGGGGGGGGGGGGGGGGGGGAGGGGCCTCCCATCCCAGGTGTGGAGGGAGCTGTTGGGATTCAGTGAAGGTGGGAAGGGATGGACAAGGTGGGAAGGGATGGACACTGATGTTCTCTTCCCTCCTCCCTCCCTGCAGACCGATGCCACCTCAAAGGTGAGTGAAGGACATCCCATGGGCCCCTGGCACTACCTCTGGGGGGGGGTGGCCTCAAAATGTCTCGGGGTAACTCAATCCCTGGAGCTCAGCTCTCCGAGGAGATGACCCAGGGCTGGTCCGGGGTTCCTGAAGGGAAGGGTTTGGCACATCCTGGCAGCAAAATCATCTCCCTTCCCCAAAATGTGGGGTTTTGTCTGTGCTGCCCACTGAGAACAATCCTGGAGAGGGACTGGGGACAAGGGAGGGAGGGACAGGACACAGGGAATGGTTTCCCATTGACAGAGGGCAGGGAGAGATGGGATACTGGGAAGGAATTGCTGGCTAGGAGGGTGAGGAGGCCCTGGCACAGGTTGGGCAGAGAAGCTGTGGCTGCCCCTGGATCCATGGAAGTGTCCAAGGCCCTGGGCAACATCATTCCCACTGCTGGTCGCTGCCCGGTGTCACCACCTGTCCTGTCAGGATTCTCGGGGTCCTCCAAGGGAAAACCACCTCAAAGCAGTGCAATCTGTGGTTCAACCTCTGCAGGGGGACATGAGTGGCCACAGCAGTGCCCTCTGGTCTCAGGGACAGCAGCTGGCCTGTCTGTGGGGGGTTGGTTGTGGTGGACGTGGTTTGGTGTCCACACTCAAAGAGCTGTCTCCTCCTTCTTCTCGCTCCAGGCCAGTCCCAGCCATCAAAGTCCAATCAACCTCCTTCCCCTCCAAGAAGTGACAATCCAAGGCCACCTGAAGCCCGTCCTTCCCGAGCTGGCTCTCCTGATTTGCACTGCTCTGGCCACAGGGGTCGTTCATTCCTCTCCTTTTGTTTGTCTTTTGATACCAGAGGACTATTTTTGATAAGACAGAATTTGTATTCAGCACAAAAACTGTA